CCCCCACTCACTCCAGGGCCGACATCCGGCCGCAGGGTCCGTTTCCCCCCACTCAACCCCACTCACTCCAGGGCCGGCGACTGGAGGTGCAAGCCTCCGGCTGCCGGGTTCGTTTCCACCCCCCCACTCCAGGACCGGAGACAGGAGGCAGAAGTCTCCGGTCGCCCACTCCCTTCCCCTCCCCCCCCACCCACTCCCAACAGGCACTGAGGGGAATGTAGGGTTGCCAGCTCTAAGGAGGGAAATACCTGGAGGTTTGGGGGGTGGATTCTGTAGAGGGCAGCATTGGGCGGGGGGGGGGGCGGAAGGACTCAGCAGGTATAATGTCATAGGGTCTACCCTCCTAAAGCAGTCATTTTCTCTAGGGGAACTGATCTCTGTCATCTGGAGATCAATTGTAGCAGTGGGAGATCTCCAGGTCCCACCTGGAGATTGGCAACCCTAGGGGAAAGTCAGCTGCACAGCAGGGGGTTGAAGAGAATGGTTTGATGGCTGCTGGGCCAAGATTGGCAGCAATAGTTCCCCAGGAGCCCCATCGTAAATGCACCAAACAATTCCTAAAGATTTTCCAAAACACTACTCTGTTGATAAATTGCAACACTTTGAAGTAGCACCAAAGCTTTAAGATCTCTCCAGCTGTCACCTGGAGACTGGCAACAGCTTGTCTGGAGTGTGGGCAGTATGACATTGTATCTGTCTGAGGTCCCCCTCTTCCTCCTCCTCCTCAGATCCCACCCTCAGCAGGCTTCATCCCTAAAATATCCTGGAAGTTTCCAACCTGGAGTTGGCAACCCTATGTCCTGGAGTTCGAACCTGGAGTTGGCAACCATCAGCCAACGTTTATCTGCCTGTCTGTCTTTACAACCCCCCCCACACACACACACACTTTCCTGGCAACCATCAGCCAACCTTTATCTGCCTGTCTGTCTTAAGTTTTACAAACCCCCCCCCACAGCCTCTGCCTAGGGAGCAGCTGACATCATTCTCCTCTCCCCTATGAGATATGTTATGCAACTGAAAATTCCAACTGCCTTGCAGGGGGGGGGGTGAGTTTGAGGTGTGGAATGGAGTGAGGTCCAATCAGCTTCCATATGCAAATGACCTTGGAACGCTGGGCGGGACTGCACAAAGCAGCCAGTCAACCCAGCCAGTGTCTTCTGAGTGTCAGTTCTTCCAGCCTAACACTAAGGAGGCCAAATTTAGAATGTTGCGAAATAGAACGTTGCTATTCAATTATTATAAGGGAGAGATTGCATTTATGTAAAAGACTGACATCCCTCGTTTGTACAAAATGGCTGACGTGAAACACGAGAAGCTCCACAGGAGAGGAGAAATACCTTGCGCTGCCTCCCAGCTTCAATGCAACCTTCCCTAAGGGCTTGTCCAGGTCGTCGTGAACCAGGTAAATGTCCTCCGTGCTCAGGTTGTACGCTTCCGCTTCAAAACAGAAAACAAGGCCCAGGAGGTGAGATCAGGTGGGAAAACCAGCCCGAAGTAATGCTTCTGAGTATACTACGTAAAGACTTTGAAAAAAGCAATAGATATTTAATTATTTACTTTACTACAGCGGCAAGAATGCTATATGCCAAATACTGGAAGACACAAGATGTACCAAAAAAGCAGGAATATATACAAAAACCGATGGAAACAGCGGAAAGTGATAAATTGACTTTATTGATAAGAGGATCCACAAACTGTACATTCCAGAACACATGGAGGCGCTCCTATAATTGGTATAATAGCGCAAATGATTGTAACCTAAAAATGTAATCCCTAGAGCAGTGGTGGCGAACCTATGGCACGGGTGCCAGAGGTGGCACTCAGAGCCCTCTCAGTGGACACGCGTGCCATCGCCCCAGCCAGGCCCAAACCGTCATTAAAGTGTGGAATTCTCTGCCAAATAATTGTAAGTAAATGAAAGCATTTGGGATTGCTTTCCTTACTTTGTTTGGTAAAGTAAAACCTCAGTATTTGGGTTAAATTGCCGTGTTGGCACTTTGCGATAAATGTGGGTTTTGGGTCGCAGTTTGGGCACTCAGTCTCTAAAAGGTTCGCCATCACTGCCCTAGAGCAAAGTATAGGTTAGAACATTGAGATAGCAGATACAGATGTTGATTTTAAGATACAAAAATGTGAGCTCATAGAAAATAATGATTACTGTGATATTGTATTAGACAGAGAATATCTAAGATGCAATTATTGGAAACGTAAGCATTTGATACCCCCGTTTGTGTTATATGTGTGCATGTTTGGTTTGTCTGTTATGAAAAAGCAAATAAAATTCTGCCCCTTGAGGGCAGATTAAAAAAAAAAGAGAGAGATCAGGTGGGAAAACCTGTTGCTCTCCTCCACTGCTAAGGGAGAGAGAGGACACAATCTGCACACACTAAGCATCCAACGGCAGAGGAAGCATGACTTGCCAGAGGCAAAGGTGGTCTGCGACATGGCAAACGAGTGGTGTGTGGACCACTAATGTTGGCACGTTGATTACATTGCTTGCAATATGACCTTTTCTGGGGGGGTTTCTTCACTGGCATCACATGCCTCCTCATTTTACCCTCTTTCCTTGCTGGATGATTTGATTATTGTATAATATTTTTACCTAAAGTGTTCTTTTTAATGTCACTTCTAAGCAACTAACGCCCAAAAGCAGACAGCAGTCCCTGCAGCAATTTTTCTACCAGATTTTGTCAAGGGAAATGAGGGACTGCATTTTTATTCCAAGCGGGGAGAATCCCGTGCCGGCATCACGTCAGATGCCACAAATAAACTGCCGCTTGTCTGCAGCAGGAAAAAACCCGGTTAACTTGCCGGGTGGGCACGGTCCCCCCTCCCTCCTCCCATGCAGCGCACCGAGATCAGCGACCAAACTCTTAAACTAACCCCAATTTGTCACAATGTCCACATGGAGGTGACTTAAAAGGAGGTTACTTTCTTTCCCAGGAAACAGGATGAAGCCGTGGTTAAGAACCCTGGTTCACAGGAAAGACGCTAACCGCAGTGGAGGAGAACAAGGAAAATCATGTGAGCTGTCCTGAACCTTTTGGTGGGATGAAAATGTAACTGAAACAATTGTCTCGAGGAAACTCTCCATAATGGAGAATAAACAGGGCCAATAATAGTCTCTGCGAGTCCTAGAGCATTTCTGTGCGGGTATGCTCAGATGCAGGGCTATTTTGGGGCAGGAACGCACAGGAACGGAGTTCCGGCTGGCTTCCAAGCCCAGGGGGCGGGCACATGCAGCAAGCCCCTCCCCCTGCTCCCAGCAGCCCTCAATTGGGCCATGAGGAGCAAGGAAGTAAGTTGCAGAGCCTCCCCCCACCTTCCTCGGCCCATGCTGAGGCCCAGGGCCCAGGAAGGCCTGCAGAGCCCCCCCCCCCGCCTTTCCCGGGGTGTGGCCTATTATGCTAATGAGTTCCTGCTGGACTTTTTCTACAAAAAAGCCCTGCTCAGATGTAAGTCCTGCTCTATTCAGTGAGCCTTAGGCCTGGCCCACACGTGCAAGAGATAGCAGAACGGACTGCATCGCTTCAGATCACAGGTGGTGGACTGCATCATTGAATGCACTTTTGCCTAAAAAAGCTCCTGCAGTTAGCACGGTAGGGAGAATTGTTCCATTCTTTCTCTATGCTTGCAGTGCTGGATTTCTATCTGCAGGGAATTTCTATCATCAAAATAGGTTTTTACACCTGCTTGCTAAAATGCCAGTGAGATCCAGAGCGATGCAGGAGATCCCAGTTCTAATCCCCACCCTTAGCCACTGACCTTGAGTCAACACCCCCCCCACCCAGTCTAATCTAATTCACAGGATTGTTCTTGTTGGTTGTGAGGATAAATTGAACGGGAGAGATAAAACTTTGTAACTCACTTTGGGTCCCCGCTGGTGAGAAAAGCGGGGTGTAAATATCTCAACACTTACTTAAATGATACTACTAATTTAGCCTATAGGTTTTGAGTAGTGCCACATTAGAAGCCACATAAACCAGGCTAAGCAATCATCTTAAAACTATTCACTACACACTGTAGCTTACGGGGGGGGAGGGGAATGCAACAGCCAAAGTAACCTCCAAATCCACCCCAGCCAAAAGTCCCCCCCAATTCTTCTCCCACTGATGCACCCACCATCTCACCTAGGGATGGAATAATCCGCAAATCTCTCACCTTTGAAATAAAGGGACATTCCAATAAACAATGCTCCAGTATATCCATTTCCCCAGTAGCACATAAGCACAGCCTCTCCTCCAAATAGGGCACCTTCTTATAATGACCACTCATTCATTACTTGAGATGGTATAGAATTCAACCTAACAAGCATAAAAGCTCTCCTGTATTGGAGCCCAGTCAACTGTTTCATGTACAATGTGGGAGACTTCTGGGACAGGACGATCCCAAGTAAGCAAACAGTATCTGAACAGAGAAAATAAGTATGTGGTGTAAGTTCATTCAACCACTTCAGCAACCTCATTCTGAATGTGTGTTACAACAGTGTTCCCAGATGTTATGCCAATGGAAGCGACGTTTCCCGATGTTCTGCAATAGTAGACACTCAGGATGGGACTAGCTGGCCCTCTACAGGGCACAGCTGGAACTGCACGACTGTGGCTCAGGGAGCAGCACACACAGGATTTTGCATCCTTATCAGTGGCCTCAGATGGTGGAAAGAGGATATTTCTCATGCTCTTTTGTGCCTCATCAGGAGTGGCGGATTGAAAAGGAGCACCAAAGAGTCGCTGCTTTGCTCCCACCACAAAATGATCACCCACAAAGCTGCAGCCAAGGTTGCAGGGCCCGATTTTCGGGGGCGGGACCCGCAGCCTGGCAAAACATGATTCTCTGGTGTGCTGCTTTCTCCAGAGCTGTCATGCATTTCGCCTGCTGGGAAATTATAGATAGATTAAAGCAACGTCTCCAGCTAAGAGTAAGCCTGGGACGCTTAATTTAGTGGCTATGGGGCAGGGCCGGACCCAACTTATTTTGCACCCTGGGCGAGGATCCCTTCCCCCCATCCCCCGGTGGCCCACCAATTGTCAAAAATAAATCCATTTTAGGAAGAATGAAAAACACAAATTTTGAAATTGCTAATTACTTTTTTTAAATTGTGAGACACTGTGGCAGGCAACAGCATCTTGAAGCACATACAGAGTGCTTTCCTAATCATTCCAAAGAAAATGACACCCCCTCCTCTGTTACAGTGCAGGATTTCAACACTGAGATTAAAAACAACAACAACAACATAAAATTTCTGGGTCAGTCCAAAGGTCCACAGAGACCTGCATCCTATTTGCCATAAGGGCCAAGCAGAGATCCCCTAATGACCTCAAAGCAGGGGGGGGTCTTGTTGCTGTCCCCCAGAATCTTCACTGTCGAGGGTTGTAATTTGGGTTGCCAGCTCTGAACTGGGAAATACCTGGAGATTCTGGGGGCGGAGCCTGAGGAGGGCGGAGTTTGGAGAGGGGAAAGACTTCGAAGGGGTTTAATCCCAGAGACCCCACCTTCCAAAGCAGCCATTCTCTCCAGGTGAACAGATAATGAGCTTGCTACGCAAGGAGGGCGGGATATAAATTGAATAAAATAAATAAAATAAAAACCGATTGCCTGGAGATCAGTCGTAAGAGTGGGAGGTCTCCAGCCATTATCTGGAGGTTGGCCACCCTGGCATAATGTCACACCGCCGCCGCTGGTCAGATGAAAGGCGAGCAGCATCGATCTGCCTGCCAGCGGGGGAATCTCGCTGTGCTGCGCCGTCTGGAGCGGGCGGCCCGAGGAAGGAGGCGCCGGCGGCCCACAACTGCTGGCCGCAACTAGCAAGCCGCAGCGGAGCCAGAGGCGACCTGACCCAC